GGGTGAGCGAGAGAGAGCGAGTCCGGGAGGAGGAGGAGGAGGAGGAGGAGGAACGCGTCGGGTGTGCGAGGAAGAGGGCGGGCGCCGCCGGGCGCCTGTGAGAGCGCGGGGAGGAGTGTCGAGTCGGTGCCGCCGGCGCGGGCGGAGCGGACATGGCCACCATGGAGAAGCTGATGAGGGCTTTCGAGTCGCTGCGCTCCTTCCAGCAGCAGCAGGGTCCGGCTGCTATCCCCGAGGAGCCGCTCCAGAGACCGTGAGTGACTCGCACCGGGGGGGAGCTCCCGAAACGCTTCGGCGACATCTTCCCCTGCCCGGGGGAGGCCGCCCGCCAGGCCGCTGCCGCTCAGGAGCTGCTGCCAACCTGAGAGGTAGCTGGTAGTCCTAGGAGGAGTCCCGGGGTGCTTCCCTGTCCTTGGCAGGAGGCAGTTCCTGGGGACGTGCCTGGGAGTGCTGCCTGCTTTCTGTTTAGGACTAACTTTCTGGGCAGTAGTATGGGTAACAAACAGAAGATACGAGAATGCTGTATGGGTTTCACAGGCTGGTTCTAGGAAGGAAATCCTTGTCTTCAGGTTTTTTTCCAGCTAATACACTGCTGGGAAAAAAGGCAAAATGCCCTAAGCATAACTTAAAGCACTAAGCTTAATAAAGTCTGAGCTCTGATGCATCTGAGGGGAGTTGATGTGGATGTTTGTTTATGACAAACTTAATTTACTGTGACTTGCTGTGCAGAGACCTAAGAGGAATATAGTTCAAATATTTCTGATAGCCTTTTGCTTTCTTAAACGTTTGGGGCAAATGCATTACATCATGCAATATTCGGGTTTCCCATCGGGAGGCCTTGCTGTAGGGCAGGAGCGAGGAGCTGTTCTGTACCCCAGTGCTGCCTCTTGCATTTGCATCTTCTAAAAATAACTTTTATTGAGCAGGTGAAAAGACACTAAGATGTTTATGGGATAAATACATAAGTCACACTATTGCTTTTTTCCAGCTATTGGGGAGACAGGAGAAGCAGGAGGGTTGAGGAGCAGGTAACTTCTGAATTGGCAGTTGCGTCGTGTTTTGGCAGAGGATGCTAAGCAGTAGAGCTGGGCTCCTGGCCACCTGCTCCCACAATACATTCTGATATGAATGCTAACTGAATTGTTATGGTTGATACTGTTTGGAGAGTGTTGTCTCAAGCAATCTCAGCCCATTTTCACACTTTTTGGGGCATAATAGATGAAAAAACTCATCTTCATGAGCTAACTGTTTTTAGACTCCTTATTGGTCTGCAAGTACTAATTGCTCTGTTCTGTGCATTTTTTGTGCTTGTACTTTGTGTGACATGGGGGATAGATGGCTATTCCTATATGTAGTTGAAAAAAATCTGTCTAGAGAGTTACTGATTAGATAGATCATGGTATTTCAACAGATAGTCCGGAAAACTATTTGTGGTGTTTGAGGGATGTTATGCTTGCTGTTGTCCTTGTTGACTTTGTTTTGATTTTAAAAATAGGCTGTATGTTTTCAGAAAGCTGCTGGTATTGCGTGCCTCCAGGAGCTATACAAATTCATCACTAAGCTTCATAAAAGCCTGTGAAGGGATATTGTGGCAGTCTTTGCTGAAATTTCCAAAACTTTTAGTGAAATACCAGATAACATCTTAAATATAATTCACAATACTGTCTGCTTATTTTTTTTGTGTTTGTTTGTAATGGACTGGAAAGGAAAATTGCCTCTGTTTTTCTTGTGTTTGGGGAGAGGTGGTCATCTTCATTGTAGCTGTCTACAAATAGTACTTAAATATTTTGTAGTTCTCTGTGGTAACTTCCCATTGTTCTTTCCGTTTACTGTTGTAAGAGGGTGTGAGCTTACCTGTCAGTAATGAAAGAATAAATTAATTGGTGAATGTCATGGCATAAATGCTTCTGGTTTGCTCTTTAATTGTTTTGTTGGATATCTCTTTGACATTGTCCGTTAGATCAAAGTTGTCCTCGTTGCCTAAATTAGACAAGTGAGAAGCTGTTGTTCCTAGAGTTAATCTCATTATTACAGGTGGTGTTAGATATTTTTTTGTTGGACTTTTTTTCTACAGTAAAACTAATTGCCTGCCTCTACTTCCCCCTCCCCCTCAAAATAAGCTACCTTAAATTACAACAATAGTATTACCTCTCCATGATGAAAAATAATAATTAAAAAAAAATTTGTCCTGTTCGAGTAGGCAAAAATGGCTTTTAAAAATATTTTTGCTAGAAACTGAGTATTCCATGTCTGGCTACTGAATGAGTCCTACTAAGGACTGTCTGTCTCCTGCTATGAAATGTTTTAAGGTCACGGAGATTAGTGTAGAGAAGACTTAATTGTTTGCACAACACGTATTGAAGTTTTTCTTCACTTTGTTGTAAGACAGTACCTTCTGAACTCTTGATAAAACTTATATTCTGGCTTTTCTTTTTTTTATTAAAATATTAATTGAATTCAAGCTTTTACCAAAAAGGTATGACCTTTTTCTGTTTTGAGAGATTTTAATCAGCAATAATTATGTGTTATGCTTCTAATACGCATTACAGTTGGATGTCATTTTCTGGCCCCCTCTCTTATCTCTTGCTCTTTTTTTTTTTTCCCCCTCTTTTTCCTATGAAAACTTAGGTTGAGCTTTCTTGTCATATTGCTTCTATACACTTCTGCTGTGGCACCTTATTTTCTTCCATATCTATTTTTAGCTTTTTCAGACCCTTAAATTTTGGTTGGAGTTGGGTGCTTTTTTTTGGATTACAAAGCTTCCACTAACTTAAAATTTCATTAATATAATGTAAAAATTCAGGTTTTACTCAATGAAACTAAAAAGCAGATGGTCTGTCACACAACGTCCTACATTTTATGTTTTATTCATTTTTACCTCTTTATCAGTGGGTTCAGAGAATGACTTAACTTTTCTTCTGGAGATGTATTTAGCTTTGACTTGATTAATCCAAAGGTGGATTATTCACCTTTTCGCATGTTAACTTGTTCTAATACAAACAATTACAATAATTAACTAATTGTGCTCTATTTCCAATTTTATTTTTTCCTTACATTTGATTGTAACCATTATCTGTACAGCAAAAGGTGCTGTAAGAGCCAAAGAGCTCTCAAGCAATGTCCGTTTTTCTATACCTATGAATTTTTCTGGATTTTTTATGTTTGACTGAAGCTGTGGTTGTAGACTGGTTTCATCAGTGCTATATGTAGAGGTGTCACTAATTTTTTGCTTAACTGAAGACCATGTGAACTGCATGGTTAATACCTATTGCCCTGCTTGTCAGTGGTGGTTCCTAGATGTTTTTTTGGAGTTACCATTTCTAGGGTGTGTTGTAAACCTCTTCTACTTTGACTATTGATCGTTGTCTGTGTTACTATACATTTTTTGAAGGATCAGCTGTATGTGGGCTTAGTTTATTTCTTGATCCATTCATATTTCTATTTGTTACTATAATCTTTTTTGAGTTTCCCATTAGTTTTCTCAAGATGAATGTCAAGCCGTTTGGCTTGGCCTTTATTCTTAATGCTGGTTCAGCTTTAGAGCTTCTGTGCTCTTTTTACTGATCTTTAATTCCAAGGCCTAATAAATCAGCATCAGTGAGCTGCATGTCTTTGTAGCCAGCTTGTCAGGACTTGGAATGCAAAAATTATCTGGGCTTGCTGGTTTTCTTACTTTTTTTATTCTTGGCTAGAGATTGTCTGTAGAAGCATGCAGAAGATTAAAGTCCTCTGCCTGTGAGATGAAGCTTTCCTGTAGATAAGTACTACTTCCAATATTTCCTGCCTTCTGTTTTTCATCAAACTGAAATGACCTTACACTTGGGGCTTGCTCCTTCAACTCTCTTCTAAGAAATATGTGATGGTTTTTTGCGCCCTCCCCCCCTCCCCCCATGCTCATCAGCAGTTTGCCTGAGGACTTAGTAATACCTCTCTGAATAGAGGGTTTTTTTTATAAAAAGAAATCATGTGTCCTATCTCAGGATACTGTTCTGTTGTCCTTCTTTTTCTGTATGCATAGAAAATGTGTGCATGCGCACCATGTACATTAAGCGTTTGTCTTCTACCTTTTCTTTTATTCCTTCAAAGGCTGATTTTTTGGAAGTTGAGTGACCAAATGGCAGATGAAAGATTCAGTACAGCAAACTCAGTTGAATGTTTGTTCTTCTTTCCCTTTGGATGGCAACTGATAGTCTTCACCCCTAGTTTCTGTTATTTCAGTTTAAATGGTAACTCATTAACTATATGCATTCATTCTAAGATTTCACATGAAATTTTCTCTATTCAGGCCTTTTTTAATTTTTTTAAGTTATTTCAGTGAGGTGGTAGAGTCAGTGTTAGGTGAGCTCTTTGTTTACAGAAATCTGCTGAAGAGATTGTTCTGTACTACTCTGAGTAGTGTTGAACACTACTGCTGGCCTTGCTCAGGCTGTATTATGTGTAGATAATAACTTTATTCTGAAAGCTGTCTCATTCAGCAATATCTTGAGTGTGGTTTATATCTGAAATAGTGAGCTTATGGGCAAGTTCAGATGTGCCCTTTCTAGGGTTGAATGTGTACTGAAAATGGTGCTCATAAGAGATGTGGGCAATGCTAGGTAAAATTATTATAAGAGTTGAAGTTATTTACTCTGTTTCTTAGGTGCCCATGCACATCAATGGTACTTAAGCTGCAAAATCAGTTGGACGTTTTAGGAAGTATTTGCTGTTTTGTTAGCGGTAATCTCAAAGTGCTATTAAAAGACTGGTGCTTTTTTCAAGATGGAGAGAAGGACTGTGTATCTTGATCAAATTCAGACTGGCTACTCATATTCTGCTAGTTCCTTAAGAACACAAGCCAAAGAAGAGATTCACTTTGGGGAACGCTGAAGCTTACCTAAACCATATACTGCCAAATGATAATGGAAAAAATGGTTTTGTTCAAAACTATTCCTTAAACTTTTAAAAAGGGAGAGCATTTCTGGAGTGAGGTGAGAGGCTCCTTAGGGAAAAAACTGACATCTCGGGAGCAAACACTGTACAACCCCCTACTTCCAACCTTATGGAAGAAAAAGGACAGGGCTACTTGGAAAGAATGACTTTTTAAAAAAACTGAGCTATTCTTTGATCTAAAGCTCTTAAATATTACAACTTAGTTCTTAAATTTTTGTCTGACGATGTATTTTGAGTTAGCTTAATTTAATGTGCTTATTGGCTACTTGCTGTTGGCCCTTAACGTTGTGTTAACTATATTATGGTATCTCAAGGCTGTTCACATCATTTTCCAACTTCTAGTTCAGAAACACTGTTTTGCTATTTGATGGTTTTGCTATTTTTGCTAAGGTGGAAAATTAAATGCTAAAAATACAGATGATCATTTTTCCCTTGGAAATCAGAAGGGAAGATTCTTTGTGAATGTGAGTGAAGAAGCAGGTACCTCCTTGTTGTGAAACAGACCCAGGAGAGATACCTTTGGGTGTGCAGTTTAGCTCCAGTATTGCTACTGGTTAATTATTTAAAAGTAACGTCTGCTTTCCTAGAAGCGATTCTGTGTCAGTGAAGTTAAAAGTAGGAGACACTGCATACAATTAAATTTAAATATCACAGTCACAGTTGTGAATCTCTCTCCTTCCCCCCCCCCCCCCCCCTTTTCCCCAGTCCCTTTATTGGGGAGTGGAGCAGGGAAGAAGCTTCAGTTCTCAACTCAGGGTTATAGGGTTATAGGAGCTTATATCATGTTGAAGTGAATGTTAAACAAATTTTGCAAAGTAGAAGCTTTTCATATTGTTCTCTGCATTGCTTGTGGATATGCATTCTTTGGTTCTGAGTTCTATTCTCTGCAGCGTACACTCATTTGCTGTGAGTTGACTAAGCTTGGCCTTTCCTGAACCGTACCAAGTGTTACTATAGGGACATTATTCTTGATGGGCATAGACTGTGCTTAGAGTTTTGCTATTTTTACAATTACAAAACCATTTGGAGGAATGTCACATATCATAGGATTGCCTTGGCATCCTTTCCAGTTCAGATACAAAATGGTTGATTTAATAGAACTCTGAGTTCAAGAACTTGCCAGACAAAACAAAAATCTAAGGTGATACTATGTGTGAGGAAGGTCTTTCTAAAAGTGGTATTTTTTAGGTCTGCAAGACTTGCTCTCATGGCTTATTTTCACCAACCTTTTTCCTACAGTTTCTTTATTTCTGTGTTTTTCTAGGTCTACTCCACTTTTTCCTCCCTTTCCATTTACTCCTCTTCATTCTGTGGTTCTGTTTCCCAAATATTTTCTCAGTGACAGCTATGGAATTAATATGATACTCCCTGTTAAATGGTTCATTCTTCTTCAAAGTTTTTATCCTTCCCTTTGCTTGTGTGCCTGCATGTTTTCAGCAGCAGCTAGTGTATGAAATCCTGGGACTACAGGTAGTTGGCATACAGCTGTTTATATAATGACCAGAAGAGTGGGGTCATTCTATAGAGTGGGGTCACTTCTTGTATAATTATTAGACACTAGTCTTGCTTGGCTGTTTAAATGGTCACTGCTCACTTCTGAAGTCTTCTCAGACTCATTATTGCTGTGTTCTTCTTTTAGAAAGAAAGAACTTTCAACTACCAAGAAAGATCGAGTGAATCATTGCCTAACAATATGTGAAAACATAGTTGCTCAGTCTTTAAGGTAAGACAATGTCTTTAATTTATTGCATTAATATGAACAGCGACTTTGGAGTGTTAGGTACTTGGAGGCTTTCTGATAATTGCTGATTTTCAGTGCTCAACTTCTGTTTAAAACTGAAGTGGCACAACTTCCTACATTTTTTTTTTTTTACCAACCCAAAATCTAAGAAGTAATTTTGTTTAAACATTGATAGAGTAGGCACTATCCTTCTATCTCAGAGAGACTGAGGCACAGAAGTCAAATACCTTGCCAGATTATCACAGAATCATTAGGTTGGAAAAGACCTTTAAGATCATCAGCCCAACACTACCAAGCCCACTCAACCATATCCTGAAATGCTACGTCTACACATGTTTTGAACAGTTCAGTGATGGTGACTCTACCACCTCCCTGGGCAGCCTGTTGCAATGTTTGACTGCTCTCTCTGTAAAGAAATTTTTCCTAATATCTAGTCTAAATTTCCCCTGATGCAACTTGAAGCCATTTCATCTTGTCCTATCGCTAGTTACTTGGGAAAAGAGACCAACACCCTCATCGCCACAACCCCCTTTCAGGTAGTGGTAGAGAGCGATAAGGTCTCCCCTCAGCCTCCTCTTCTCCACACTGAACAACCCCAGTTCCCTCAGCCGATCCTCATAACGCTTGTTCTCCAGACTCTTCACCAGCTTTGTTGCCCTTCTCTGGACACGCTCCAGCACCTCAACATCCTTCTTGTAGTGAGTGGCCCAAAACTGAACACAGTATTCAAGGTGCTGCCTCACCAGTGCCGAGTACAGGGGCACGATCACTTCCCTACTCCTGCTGGCCACACTATTTCTGATGCAGGCCAGGATGCTGTTGGCTGCCTTGGCCACCTGGGCACACTGCTGGCTCATGTTCAGCTGGCTGTCAGCCAGCACCCCCAGGTCCTTTTCTACCAGGCAGCTTTCCAACCACTCCTCTCTAAGCCTGTAGTGCTGCATGCGGCTGTTGTGACCGAAGTGCAGGACCCAGCACTTGGCCTTACTAAACCTTGTACAATTGACCTCAGCCCATCATCCACCTCAGCCTGTCCAGATCCCTCTGCAGACCCCTCCTACCCTCCAGCAGATCAACACTCCCACCCAATTTGGTGTCATCTGCAAACTTAACTGAGGGAGCACTTGATCCCCTCATCCAGATCATCAATGAAGATACTGAACAAGACTGACCCCAGAACCGAGCCCTGGGGAACACCGCTTGGAGGAACACCTTATGTAGGAAAGAGCAAGCAAATGATCTCCCAACTCCTAATGAAGTGCTTTAATCTACTGAATTCTTCTCTTGTTTAACTGTGTATAATATATCTGGATTTGGATTCTGAACCCCACTCAAAAATAGCATTGGTGTTCACTTTTCATAGTGCGGATTGTAATTTTCTAATGTTTGTTTATTTAGAAATTCTCCAGAATTTCAGAAACTGCTGGGGATTGCCATGGAACTCTTTCTCCTCTGCAGTGAGGATGCGGAATCTGATGTCCGGATGGTTGCTGATGAATGCCTTAATAAAGTTATTAAAGTAAGAACTTATATACTGTACTACTAAATTAAGCTTGTGCCGAAAGCTGTATGGAGAAAGCTTACTGATTATGTAGTGCACTCCCTAATGATAGGGAATGAGTTTTGCCCTCTAGCACTTTGCTCTATTCATTCTGATTTAAATGTTTTTCCATTTTCAGGAGTTAAGCACTCTATGAAAAGCATACACCATTATGTAACTTAATTTGCTTTAGAAGATGCTATGAAACAGTTCTAAAGAATGCAAACTTCCTTCCTTCTTTCCACTAAACTCTGTAGGCATGGTATAAAATTGACCTCTTTAATTCACTGATCTATTTAATGTTGTTGCTTTCTGGCATATTTCAAGATACCTTGAAAAACTTTAAAAATTTTTTTCTAAATCATTGTACTGTAGTTTATTTTGTTTTAAAGATTAAAGTGACTTTAAATGATGGAGTCTTCTATCAGTCATTAAGCTTGCCAGTTGATCACAGCTGTGAAATGGTAATAGTTGTGATATTCCAACCGCGTGGAGGTATCAGACTTACTGAAGCTGGTCAGAATTTGTATTCTGTTTGTGTTTTATGCTGTGTGGAAGCAACTTAGTCTTTAGGCAGACGCTCTCTCATGTATAAATGCAGAGACAAAAAGATGTTCAGTTCTATTTTTGATCATGCAAGTAGCAGTGATGCTTGTGATGAGTGGAACAGAGCTTGCATATTAGTCAAGGTTCAGCTTTTTCAGTACCTCAGGCATTTTAAAGACTAATTCTGTTGCTAGAAGGATGCTTTATATTTTCTCTAAATATAAGAATATAGATGTAAGCATTACTTGTGTAACTGTGTGTCTGTCTGAAGTTTATGCTCATGACTATAATTAAAATGCTAACTCTTCTGTGTAGACAAGGCTCTAAACTGAAACAGCAAATAAGTTTAGATAAACACTCTGTAGGTCATCTTTAAGTATCATTACACTCACCTGCCAGAATGTCACAGGCAGCATAAATGGCTCAGAGTTTAAATGGCTTTGATACCTTTATTTAAAAGAAAAAATACCAAGTTGGGAATTACCAGGTTTCTGTGGGTAAGTGTTAATGAAGCTGTCTTTTTTTCTGAAGCTGATGTATGATGTTGTAGTCATTTCTGTGCTAATGATACTGGTGGGAGTGTTCACACAGGTTGGAGTACAGTTGGTCTCAGTAATTGGGATTCATTATTTGTAGTAATTTAGAGTTGACTGTGCTTACAACTTTTTCTGAATGGGATGACTTTTTAGATTCTACCCAGATAAAAAATACAGGTATAAACTAGTAAAAAGAGTTGCTCCAGTTGACTGTGTTGTAAGGACAACTTGCCCTTGAGGCCAAAATAGTAGCTAGTGCCTTTTTGTGTTGCTTGATATCCTTACATACAGGGGCAGTGAACTTCCTGTAAAAATTAACTTCTGTGAAGTAAGTGAGATTTATCCCTATCTACTCTGATATAGACACCTGCAGTTAATAGTTGGGGTACTTATGACAATCTAAAGACACAAGCCAGGTATGATTTTTCTGTGGAAGGTAACACCATTTCATTATAATGACTGGTATAAGTGGGGGGAATAAAGTTTTGGGGCATACAGTTTTAGGCTAGGGGAATCATGGTCTGTGGAGGAGCCACAGGCACTTCACTGACCATGCTGTAAGCAATTGTGGCCTCTACATCTGCATGTGCCATATAAAAGTAATCCTGTGAAGATGTGAGCTTAATGGTTGGTGGTCAAGAAGGCAGATAGAAAACTATAAATTATTAAATTATGGGGCAAGGACTGAAGAATGAAATACTAAACATAGCACTGTATAAATCCATAATGTAAGCACTAGCACATTTTATGAAGCTCGTTTCATCTGAGGAAGTGGTGATGGAAATGTTCATAAGTAGTAGTATGCACTAGGAAAAAACTGGAAGAGGAAGGGTAATCATATGTATACAAATATTCTGGAGGAAGAGGTTATATATAGTGGAACTATTTTCATATTTTTTTTTATTCCCTGACATTTTAAAGATGGAGGGAGAATGGTGAACAGAAAATTACTACTTCTCAGTATTTACTTTTCATCTCATGTACCCTAGTTTTTTAGCCAGACTGTAGGTTCAAACTACAATGTATGCTGTTGCACTATACTTCATTAGATTCTGGGGTGTGATACTTCTGGTGTCCAGAACACCTTGTAATAAATGGATGCAGAAAATCAGCTGATTCATGAAAGAAAGGTTTTTTCAAAGGCTGTTAAAGGTAATGATACAAATACAGCCTCAGTTTGAGAAATAGTAAGAGGCTAGTTGACAGTGGGAATGTATAGCAGGGAATACCTCTCACTGCTTGTGAATACTATTTTTGTGTTCTAATGTTCTATTCATGAGCATCTACTCCTGGCAATTGCCAAAAAGCATATTAGGTTGGCTCTGCTTGTAGTCTGATCCCATATGGCCTTTTTTAGGTAGAATAGGTAAGGCAGTGAATATTAATTGTGAATAATGGTTAGTTTGTGGAATTTGTACACATTTCTGTTTTATGTTTATGTGAGATAAAGGTGTCTCTTTTCAGTATTTAGCACTTTCCTGGCTATACACCAACTATAGGGACAGTTAGATAGTTCTGTGCCTTTTTTGAAGCTGTTTCATTGCAAGTGTAACTTTTATTCCTGTAAAGTGCCTCTCCTCTGATACAGTATGTTCTCAATGTATTTTATTGCAGGCCTTGATGGATTCCAATCTTCCTAGGTTACAATTAGAACTGTATAAAGAGATTAAAAAAGTGAGTTTCCTACTTCCATGTTCTTTTGAAATGTGGTAATTAGTGTGTGTTTTAGTATGTTGGAATGTGGCGTTAGTGTAAATAAATAGTGTATGTCTTTTAAGATCAAGATCAAAGCTTCACTGTGGAAGGATCTGTGAATATTTAATGTATTATTCTACCCAGTTCCTCACTATTGGCCCCATTGTTCAGATTTAACCACTCCTGAAAGCTTATCTGGCAGAAAATGTGTGAGCATTTGGTGTGAACAGCAGTCTGAGTTAACCTTAGTGACTCTGCACGTAAGTGAATAAAGCATGTTCATGATGTTTGCTCCACTGACTGAGCTGGAAAGAATAACTTCAAGAAAAAAGGTGGTGAAAAGTAGGTAGAGGACAGTGACATTCTTAATTCAACATAACTTCTTGGAGAAATCATTCGATCAAGACCTGAAGTGACCTGATACAAGTTTTAACTGTATCAGGTGATACAGTTTTGTGTTTTGTGAATGTGTGATGTGTACTTAGAGCTTCTGTGAGAAGCGTAGGTAAAAATACTTAAACATATCTCTTGGCACCAAATGTCATAATTTGATTATGTCCACAGGAAGAATTTTAGTGATAGGCTTTTTTTAAGTATATGACTACAAAAGAAAAATGCTATGTTCAGGACAGTATCACTGAAATCATGTTTCTTGCACTTATAAACACATAGCAAGGCTTGTATAGAGAGAAAATATAGGTGTTGCTTGTTCGACAGTAATGCTATTGCTTTTTGTTACATTTCTTTGCAAATGATAAAACTCTAGAAAATAAAATAACACAATCAATGTGGATAGCTTTTCTGCTGTCAGATGTGGACTACTTGTAGGTCCTGTATGAATATCTTACTGTATTGTTTAACCATTATGCAAAATTTTTGAGGGTATAGAAATGGACATCTAGCTAATTAACAAAAAACAGCCAACAAGAACAAAAATTGCCCTCAAGTTTCTGCATGTTATGACCAGGTGCAGCACGAAATATTTTGTTCAAGTGAAATGTACTGCTTGAATAGTTGCTCTCAGATTCATGGCAGAGGCGAGAGAGAAGTAGCAGGCGTAACAGAAGCACCCAACAGACTGAATGTTTTTTGTGCATCATTTGGATCACTTTAGGAGCCATGCTGGAATTTGACTCTGTACCTGAAAAATGCACATTTTGTAATTCAGTTGCAAGTTTTTTTTACTTGTTACGCAAAGACAACCATGAACCTTTGATACACTAGCTAAAGAAAAAAAGAAGTAACAGTTTCTAAACATCTCAGCTCTGTCTTCAGAGGGACTTGATTTGAGAAGCATTTTAGTTAGCTTTGAGCTGCATTTGAGCTGCACAATTTCTCCTAGCCATCTAGTGACTTCTGTAGATTTCTGTATTTTCAACAATGCTAAGGAGCTTTACTATATCCATAGATAGTGGGTCTAAAGCTGTTCTGGCTCAAGTCAAGCGTACTTGGAGCTGACTTGACTTCTTCAAGGGTAAAGGAAATTTATGGCATCCAAATGCTTTACATTTTTATCTCTTTATGTAAAATGGTATAAAACAATATTGTATATTATAGATGTGTTTTAGGAAATAGTTTTGCTTGATGAAATGTAACAATTATATACTGTGTCTAGAATGGTGCTTCCAGAAGTCTACGTGCCGCACTCTGGAGATTTGCTGAGCTTGCCCATCTAGTTCGGCCTCAAAAATGCAGGTAAACACTTCCTAGTAATGAAATTTCCTAAGAACATTTAATAAAATATAAATGTTAACAAAATGTTACTCTTCTCAAGTTTTAGCTATATAATTGGGAGGTTGGAGGAATTCCTATCATGTTACTCTTCCTGAAGTAGCTTTATTTGATTATCTGGTTTTCTTTTAGTAGAGTTCTAGTTCTGTGCTGTACATGACTCTGGGGAAAAGCGGGGGACAAACTTGTGAAGACAATGACCTGTGGGTTTTAAGTGTACTTTTCTTTTTAGTTCTATCTTAATGTCTGCAAATTGTATTCAGAAGACTATTGTCTGTCTTTTCTACATTCTATGTAACTAACAGGTACATTTTTTATGGTTTAGTAATGCCACAGAATTTGAGTATGAATTAAAAATATTTAGATGGGTACAGTTGCTCTGATCTGAAATTAGTTTTTCTCCTTTGCCATACTTAGGCCATACTTAGTGAACCTTTTGCCCTGTCTAACACGAATAAGTAAGAGACCCGAAGAATCGGTACAAGAGACACTAGCTGCGGCAATACCAAAAATCATGGCAGCATTTGGCAATTTTGCAAACGACAATGAGATTAAGGTATCTTTCTTTATCCTGTTAGTGCTCCCTGTTATATCTCAAAACACAGTAAGGTATCAGCATTATCAATCAGATGTTACAGAAAGCAGTATTACAGCTTCATGTCTGAATTAAGGCAAAAGTTGCCCTTGCTTGATGTACGTTAAGTAATGCTTTGAACAAATGAAAAATACGTTTGCCGACTTCTTAATTCACTTCTGTCTCCTTTTCTTTCTCATAAAAAGTTAAGTAAAATATCTTTGTTTTTAGGTTTTATTGAAGGCTTTCATAGCTAATCTTAAATCCAGTTCCCCTACTATCCGTCGAACAGCAGCAGGATCAGCAGTAAGCATCTGTCAACATTCACGAAGAATGCAGTATTTTTATGCCTGGTTATTGAATGTACTTTTAGGTAAGATTCAGGAAAAGAAAATTAAATTTGCTTCAGGTATAAGTAACAAGACATTTTTTTCCATGTAAGATACTTTGCATATGTGAGAGGTTTTCAGGCAAAGCAAGGATATTTAGACTACCAGTTACACTGCTAATGCTTTCTCTATTTTATATTAAGCTAGATGAAGATATGACTAAAACTGTTTGTATCTCTCTGTGTGCTGCAATTCTAATTCAGTAATGTTGAAAAGAAACAGCCAAAGCTGGGGAAGCAGGTAGCCTTTTGGAAGGTCTAGGGATTCTGGAAGAACTTCCTCAGGAGTCTCTGAAGACTTGCATTGTTCAGCAGCTTGGTTATTAGTGCAGCAGGTCTGAGGTGGAGGATATGACTGCTGTTCTCTGGGTCATGAACACATACCCTGTAACCTTTTTTTAGAAGTACTACCATGTAGATTATTTGTCGAAAACCTAACTTAGACCAGAAATGATTTTTTTAATTTATTTAAAAGCACACAACTTCATGTCAGGTATTGCTTCCATATTTCTTTAGCTGGAAAGTTTGCATTGTCTCTGGGGTGTTTTGCAACTCCTGAGGAGATGCTTGTCTGAACTGTAGTGGAAAATTTTGCCTCAGTTTTGTTACTGACGAGGAGTTCTTTACTATGTAAGCTATATTGCAAAAGGAGAGGTAAGGAAGCCCAAGAGATACATAAAGCATTATCCTGTTAGCCTTGCTTCATTTAAGAATAGGTGAAAAATTCAAATGCCATGTAGTGACTTTCCTTGCTCTGTGTGACTTGAAAATGGTGTACTTCTGTGTACATGTTGTTATTTTCTGCAAAGGTGATGTTTTATAATGTCCTGGCAATGGTACTGAATTCAGATGGGACCACTAATAAGAACTCCATGAATTGATTCTGATTCCCCGACCCTGCATAGAACATTGTGCTTTCTTACATAATGTATATTTGTTCTTAAAAAGTTTTGGGTTTGGCTCTGTAATTAGCAGGTAGGTATATGGAACAAGATACTTGAGGGAGGAGGCAAAAGTCTGAATGTCATTCATTAAGGTAGTAGCATGTGTGTGTGGAGGAATTATGTTTGGCCTTAATTAAACTGCAAAGTGGAGAGAGGAGGCAGGTGAGGGCAGCAAGAGAGTCTAGATCACTTGGAGAAAGCATCAGATATTACAAAAAAGAAATCTGTTTTTCTTTTTGAGTGAAAAGTGGTAGGGAACAGGGAAGGTTGGTCAGAGGATGCTGTCTCTTCTCCCACGTTGCTGAAGTCATTGTCAGGAATATTAAGTAATGCATGTCTTTCTATGATGGAGTGACCACATCAGTGGACAAGGGAAAAGCTACTGATGTCAACCACCTGGACTTCTGTAAGGCCTTTGACACAGTCCCCCACAATGTCCTTCTCTCTAGATTGGAGAAATATGGATTTGATGGGTGGACTGTCAGGTGGATAAGGAATTTGGTTGGATGGTTGCATCCAGAGGGTAGTGGTCAACGGCTCAATGTCCACATGGAGAAATCTTGTCTCTCATTAACGTAAACTGCCAGTCTACCAATCTATAAGATTGTGGCCAGCAGGTCAAGGGAGCCCCTCTACTCCACTCTGATGAGACCCCACCTGGAGTATTGGGTCATCCAACTCTGGGGCCCTTAGCACAGGAAGGACATGGACCTGTTGGAGAGGGTCCAGAGGAGGGCCACAGAAATGATAAGAGGGATGAAACACCTCCTATGAGACAGGCTGAGAGAGTTGGGGTTGTTCAGCCTGGAGAAGCAGCAGCTCTGGGGAGACCTTTCAGTTCTTCAAGGGGGCTTTTCTTACGAAAGACGGGGACACACTTTGTACTAGGGCTTTTAGTGGTAGGACAGGGGCTAATGGTTTTAAACTAAAAGAGGGCAGATTTAGACTAGATCTAAGGAAGAAATTTTTCACAATGAGGGTCTTGAAACCTTGTCACAGGTTGCCCAGAGAGGTGGTAGATGCCCCATTTGTGGAAACATCCCAGGTCAGGTTGGATGGGGCTCTGAGCAACCTGGTTGTGTTGAAGATGTTGCTGCTCATTGCAAGGGGGTTAGACTAGATTTCCTTTAAAAGTCCCTTCCAACCCAAACTATTCTATGATATTTTCAAATGTTTCTACACTTAGAAAGCATTCTTAAGTTGCTGACAGGTTTTGGTTGTGTGTGTTTTTTGTTGTTTTCTGCTTTGTTTTAAAGAAGCTATTATATGGACTGCATGAAATAATGTTTGTGTTGAAACTAACTGCCTTCAAGAAGTGATTTGACTGTTTCTTTTCTACCCCCAGGCCTGTTGGTTCCTGTAGAAGATGATCATCCTACTCTTTTAATTCTGGGTGTTTTACTTACACTGAGGTATCTCATACCTTTATTGCAACAACAAGTAAAGGATACCAGCCTGAAAGGCAGTTTTGGCGTAACTAGAAAAGAAACAGAGATTTCACCTTCACCAGAACAACTTATACAGGTAAAATATGAATAATAACCCTAACCTGAAGAGTACTAATTGGAAGGAAAAGAAATAAATCTTGCATATAATATGATACAGCACTAGTTTGATGTTGAACATTCTGACTTCTTTTCTAAAATTCCTGTTCATCTTGGTGAAGATAGTTTGTCTGGTGACTGGAATTATTGATAAATAATATTAATGACCAGAAAAAAAAAATGCATCAAAAGTACTTGTTAGGTGTTCCCAAAGGAGCTAAAGAACTTCGTAATCATTATGGTGTTCTTTGATGTGATTCTTCCTTCTATAACAATAAACATAAACAACAGACTTTGACCAAGAAGGCAGTTGAATGGCTACAATTAATTGACATTTCCCCCTTGGAATAGTGTGGTGAAGATTAGATATAGAAAATGTCAGTCATTTTTAATGCATCACTGAAATTTAATGTGGTGTATGAGAAGAAATGTAGGATGTTGTGTCTTCATAGAGACTTATTCCAGTACTTTGGGTTTTAGGTTTATGAACTGACTCAGCATTACACCCAGCATGAGGACCATAATGTTGTGACTGGAGCTTTAGAATTATTACAACAGCTCTTTAGGACGCCACCACCTGACCTTCTCCGTGCCCTGACCATTTCAGGGGGCATTGCACAGGTCAGTGTATCCAAAGATGAATCTGCCAGCAGAAACCGCAGTGGGAGCATAGTGGAACTTATAGGTAAGCTATATTTTTGGTAATTCAGGTAAAAGGAGATGCACATAACATCACCAGCTCTATTTCTCAGCGTTAGCCAAGAATATGAAGAATAAAATGAAATGTATAAAGTTATGCATGACTCCTCACCCTGCCACGGTAAAAGGTTTTTTCCCTCCTTTCTTTAAGTGGGTATACATTCATTATGTAATGAAAAACTCCAGAGTATTTTTTTACAATTTGTGTTGGTGGGTTTTTTTGGTGACGCAGAGCAAGTTAACTGTGGTGACAGATTCCCCCCCCCCTCCCCAAATTACTGTTCTTCTCACCGAGCATTTAACAACTGTGATTCATTAAAAAGCTGATCTAATCAGAATTTGTTAACTGATAGCTCCTTGCCAAATACCATAACAAGCATGAAATTAAAGCATGATTTAAGTTTATCCATAACTTTTAAAAATCAGCTATCAGTGTTCTTGTCTGTGAAGTGCATGTTCTTAAAATTGTCTCTTAACTGCTACTTACGTGTTTCAAAAGTATCTATCTCTGATTGTATTTCTGTAAGGACTTCTGTATTGAACTAACGGGTCATTCTAATATTGCTGCTATTAGAAGGCAATTCATTAGCAGGAAGCAATCATGGCAGTGAAATTTAGAATATTTGTTTTAAAAGCAAACTTTGCACAAAAGTTTGTATGTATAGTATAAAAAAAAGTATAGTAAAAAAAAAAAACCCAGTCTTTAGATCACAAATTATCCAAGAAATTTGGATTTCAAAATCAAAAAGTTTGCCATTTCTTCCTGGCTTTGGGCTTTTTTAAATTCCCACTTCTGGCTATTAGAATTCCTTCATGATTTCAGCAGCTCTGTCTTTGCCCTGATGTGTTACTTTCTGTGATTTGCAGCTGGAGGGGGTTCTTCATGCAGCCCTGTTCTTGCGAGAAAACATAAAGGTGATTATTTTCAAAACCAAATCTTTAAGTGCATTCCTTTCTAATTTTTTTCTTTTTTTTACCTTCCCCCTCTCCACTTCATTGTCTTGCTGAACTTTGGTCTTCATTCACAGTTGCCTTTGTTATCAGATGAGCTTAATCACTGTAAATCTTATCAGAAATCGTGTCAGAATTCTTTTATTGCAATCAACGTATTCTAAAATCAAAGCAGTATAATTCTTATTTATGCTGTAGTTCACTGGCAAAATTATGGTGATGAATATTGATGCAATTTTCACATTTAAAGTGTACATCTAAAAGTAATCTCTCTGAACAGGGCATTCTTCCTTTTGATGGTAATACTTAACCTTTAATGTAACTCACAAAATAATTAACCTGGTTTTGTTAGGCCTGGTTTCTTTTCTTCTTTCACTAATGCATGTATATGTTCGCATGCTTTGATATAATCCTTTTTCATTTCTTTTTCTGTTCTTGATGATTAATGCTGTTCATTTTGCGTCTCACTGTATATTTTCATTCCTTTCTTCAATAGGTAATTAATTTAACAGGATTTCAAATAATACCATTTCCTCTGAAGTATTCGTTTCCAGTTTGTGCATGAAAGGACTTCATATCTAGTTATACATTTATGCTTTGCTTAAAGCAAGTCATATCAGTACTAGGATCACTGTAGATACAGCTGTATAATGGGTTCATTGCCTGTTTTAGGTGAGCAAAATGTTGCTACTGCACTGGAATGATGTGTGAATGTAGTGCAGTCAGTGCAACCATAGTAAGCTGAGAGATGTGCAATACTAAGAAGAAAAATTTCAAAGAAAAATAGTTTAAGACTAAATAAGATTATATAAACTTTAAGTACCTTTATAGCAACTAGCTTACACTTTGTCCAAATACGTCCTCCCATTTTTGTGTGCAAGGAATCTCATAATTCTTAAAGAGTATAGCTATATGCTTTAAGAATATACTTAAATGTGAAATAGTTGGTAGAGCTGAACAAAATGGTGCTTATGGTTGCAGTGATAATTTCTAGTTTAGAAATGAGAGTGAAAGAAAGTGTTCTGAAAGTAGATATTGCTGCAGCATCCAAAGGTGAGACAGACTACAATAGATCAGAATGACAATGCATAACAGTTTTAAATGAAAAATGGTACATCATTGTTATGATACTTTGAATTGTTAAAAGTCTTCAGGGTAACTTCGAAGTACTAATAATAGAGTATATTCAATTAAAGTACTTATTAAAGCACTAACGTTTCCTTCACTCGGTGGGAAAACATGTATGAGTCATCAGCTTATATCCTCTTTCAAGATCATGGTATGAAGATTTTGTGGTCTAAAAAGTGGCATAAATGAATTGGAAGAAATGTGTTCATGATTTTGTGTTTTGTACAGGTTTAATTTCAAATTGTGACTTGTTAATTTCCTGCTACTCTCCATTGTAGAGAGGAGGGAAAAATCAAGCCTATTCACAGTTTCTACTTGCACTTGTTTTGCAGTCTATTACCATACATTGTAGTAGGCTTCTGCTGTTGGCTGTGGGTGAAACTTCTCTAGCTGTAATATACCCTTGTGTGTAGGGGTGTAAAGTGAGGCTGATATACAGAAATCTGTGACCCTAATCTCAGAACTCAGATATTCGATGTCTCTTCAGTCTTACTGCTTCAGACTAACTTTAGTTTTGAGCAGCTGGGCTATGTTGGTTTATTTATGTTTCAGCTTCAGAAAATTATTTGAAAAAAAAGGCTGAGAACTCATTTTGAAATGAAAGATTATGTTCTGCATCTTAACTGGATTTTTTGCCAAGTAGTGTAAAAGTATCCTGTTTCATGTACTAATTTAAGCATACAAGGACTAGTATGCCTAATAAGTGCTTTTCAGTGTCCTTCCTCTTTCACTTACTTTTAAAGGTGGTCATCTGTGGAAAGCAGGATAATACCCTGGTTTGTTTCAATTAAATGGATGTAAATGTGAGAAAGAATAGAGAAGAGTATACTATCTTTCATGCTTTCTGTTGGGAACTGTTAGCAGGATTTTACTCATTCTTTTGTAGGAGTATAGTTCTCCATTACTGTTATTTTACATAGAACATACATGGAAATGTCATGGTTACTTTTCTACCTTACAGGTTTGAGTAGCATAAAACATACTTTTTGGATGAGGACAATTCTACAGTGTTACTGCTATGTATGAAAGCAGTTGTGATGGAGAAATTAATACAAAAGTCTGCTAATGCTTTTGTACCCCCAGTAACTTAAATGAGATGCAAACGAATTCACCTAGTGTTATCAAAACATTGGTATCTTGCATAGTGAATCTTAGAGTACCAGTGAAGCTTATTCTAAATGGCAAAACAGGCTTACCTCAAAGCAGTTTTCATTAATCCCTCTGTCTCAGCAAGTGATTTGTAAGATCCAGAAGGATGGGCTCAGTAGCTCCCTCTGTGCTCTGTATCCAGTCCCATTTACAGACTTTTCAGGGCAGTGGTGTCCTTGGTTTGCTCCCAGGCAGTGTGTGTCTGCAGGTATCTTTCTCTTTCCACTGCCTCTATTTAAAATACACATTACTCGGTGAGTAAGAGACCTCTAATGATGATTGTTTTTAAGCTATAAGTGGTTCTCATTTTTCCTATGACAAAAGCTTCTCTGAAGATTTTTGCCTTACTGGTCCCTAGATCTTAATGGCTATTGTCCATGGTTCATCACCCTGTCCCACTTACAAGGTCTTGTGCTTTTAGTCTGTACTGCTCTTCCCCTGAGGCGTTTTCTATTCTGTTGTCCTTGGAGTTCCAAGCCCCAAACTGCAAGTAGCCTTTAATAATTTTCATAGCCTTAAGGAGGGAGAGGTTATTTATTCTATTACTTGTGGTGCTTTAATGCCCTTCTGAGTTGAGGACAGACATCCAAGTGCCAGGTATCCAGTCCTTAGTAATAGGACATAATTGATGAAATCAGAGGCATCGTAACCCTAGTCCACAAAAATAAGCTAGAATGAATAAGGTCATAGGTAGTTTCCTGAATGGTTACACTGTTAAATAAAATTACTTAACTGCGTGTTTCCTTGTCACTGCTGTCTGTTTCGCTCCTGATCAGATAGTGAGGGACTGGATATTCAATTTCTTCATTCCTTTCTCTCTTCCACCTGTTGCCTGTCACAGCTTTGAAAAATGATTTGGATAATTTTTTTTGAAATAAATTTCACATCTAACTGACATCAACTTGTTCAGCATTCCAAGTTGACTGTAATTTTGGAAAACTGTAAAGGTTTTTCTTCCATCCTTCTCAGGTAAAATACTTCTTGGTGAAGAAGAAAGTTTGGAGGATGATCCTGAAACCCGATCAGACATCAGCACTGCATCGTTTGCAGGTTAGCTGGCTTTCCCTTTGGCAGTACAATCAGCCTGTGTAACTATATATTACAAATCCATTATTTTATCGCTCTGTGTAAAATATAAGTGATGTGTTATGGTGACTATGAAGTGAATGGGCACTCAAGACATGCTAGCAAAACTGAAACCATAAATACTCCTGGGTATAAAACTTATATTGACCTAATTAAGTTGACTGCTTTTTTTTTAATGGATAGGCTGTCATATTGAGCTACTGGTATAAATGGAATGGCATCTTACAGATGCTTATTTCCCTACCTGTAGTTGAACTGTTCAGTCATACACTTTCTTTAGCCTAGTTTAATATGTGGGTTAGTATGCGGTGTCCATATCAAGAGTGAAACACAAGTTTAAACACTTGATTGACTCATTAATATCTGTGTCTTGCAGCTTCTATGAAGGGCAAGATAGCCAGTGAACTAGCTTCTTCCTCAGGTGTATCGACAGCTGGGTCAGTAGGGAGTTCAGCTGCTGATTCTACCGGACATGATATCATTACTGAGCAGCCACGTTCTCAACATACGTTGCAGTCAGACTCTGTAGACCTGACAAGCTGTGATTTGACAAGTACAACTACTGAAGAAGATGATGTGCTTAGTCGAAGCTCCAGCCAGATCAGTGCTGTCCAGTCAGATCCCACTATGGACTTGAATGATGGTACACAGGCTTCCTCACCAATTAGTGATAGCTCTCAGACTACTACAGAAGGTCCAGACTCTGCTGTAACCCCTTCGGACAGTTCTGAAATTGTAAGTGTGCAACGGGCAGAGGGGGGATCCCCTTCTACTGAGGGGCCCGACATATCTCAGAGCTCTTCCATGGAGGGCCCAGACTTGGATTCATCTACTTACTCGTCTTCTACTTTTCCATCCTCAGCTAGTAACAATGGAAAGGTCAGCAGCTCACACCTCTATTGGAGAGCTTGACCTCCTTTTAACACTTCCACTTCATCAGTAATTAAAAACTACAAAGCTGTAATCAGTGTGTTCACTGGGTAGGTCATATGAAGGTATTAATAGATTGTCACTCACTGAAAGAATGTCAATATCGAAGGCTTGACATACATATATGTATCCTCTTAGTAGTATATCCTTCATTTTATATAGATACTTTAATAGTTGTTTTGGTGCAGGAGGACTAATGGAAGTGTTAAAGGGTGAACAGTCTATTTGGAATGATATAGGAATACTTTTGGAACCTAATGCTTCACATTGTCTTTTGCCTGTACTTTTTCACTTGGCAATGCAACTTTTTTTTTATTTTTTCCTTTTTATGCCATCTTAAGTATTTCTCCTATACTAAGCAAATACTGCATGATTTACTAATGTAGCAGTTGTGTATCTAATAAACACCTGAAATGTACATACAATATAGCTATTTTAAGAAATTTGTTTTAGTCAAGTGTATTGTGAGGTTGTAATAAAAACAGCAAAAATATAATTACCGTGAGCAAGATCAGAAAATGCAAAAAGGGGAAAACTTAGAATTTCTCAAGTTCTTTTTTTTTTAGATGTTATCAAACTTGACTTAAGTTTCCTGATAGTAACTTTGGAAAAGTAATTGTCTCTTACCGTGACAAAAAATGGTAAATTTACAATTATGATAAGCAAATACTCCTTGCTTATCCTCACACTAAAAAAAGTGTGAAGATTCAAGAACCAAAGGAGTTACCATAATTGCTCTTGTCTCCGAATTAAATGCAGGCAGTGCAAAAGGCCAAAGTGAGCAGACATTTATTGACAAGTTATGCTTATTGACAAGATGCATTTCTTGGAAGTTCTTGTCAGACTGTTGAATATGTCAATTGGTGTACTGTTTACAAGCAGTAATTACAGGGAAAATGATTTTTTTGTAATTGACAAAGTGGTTGTCCCACTTAATGGGCTTTTTAATAAACAATTTCCAGGCGCTTATAAAGTCAGGGAGTAACCGAGTAAGTATCTTGTCTTCTGATAAACTTACAATGAAATGTTTTTTTACTTTGTCTTTTATTATCGTTATTAATTTTCTTTTATGGTTACTTTTCCATATGCCTACTGCCTATACAGTGCATAGGTACCAAGGGTCAAACTCTTGTTAACTATGGGCTCTAATAGCCCAAATGCTGGAGAAGGAGGGGAACTGCTTTGGGGCCTGCATGTAGCTGTACACTAATATTTATCAGGCTCATATTTGCTTTCAAATTATTTCTAGATTACTAGCATTGCAATTTGAGATTTAATACTGTGTTAAGCTAAACTTTTTTTAAGTCCTGTCCTTGCACTGTGTAGGTTTTGGAGGGTGCTGAAGGACAGTATTCTGCGATGCAAATTGGGCAGCTGCAGGATGAGGAAGATGAGGCGGCAAATATTCTCCAAGATGATTCATCAGAGTCTTTCAGAAATTCTTCTGTTGGTATGTTGATATATGGGGGGAGATGAGTGGACACAGAACTGGTGACACCTTTAAGGCAGGTGTTAACAGGTGCATCTGCTGTCTGACTTCCAAGGGACTGAAGACTCATGTAATGGATATGAAAACCAAATAAATAGTTTGAAATGTAAAATAAGGAATATATTTCAACATTGCTAATGGATCACTTGTTTTGATCACTGCTAATTTATTTTTATCATTGTATAATTAAGTTCAGTTAAAGTGCTTTTAATTTGCATCTGAAATGGTATTTCATTAATTTTTTCTAAAGCTCTTCAGCAGCCTCACCTGTTGAAAACAATGAGCCATAGTAGGCAGCCTTCTGATAGCAGCGTAGATAGATTTACATCAAAAGAAGATGCAGCAGATCCTAGTGATCATGAAAATAAGGTGAGAAGTAGTCACAGTGGTCTGGTTTGAAGTTTAAAAAGTAAATTAGTTATGGTCATGTAAACTAGTGATAATGTGGATAGTCTGTATATGTGGTGTACTTCGTTATAGGTCAAAATAACTAAGGTTGAATAGTAAATCTGAGTTACAGCCTGAATTTCATTTAATGTAAGGTGAATACACAAGGATTGATATCTTGAATGCAGTCACCAGCAAAACCATAATAGAACACAAACTGCTGAGAACACAAACCCCTTTTGTCTGTGCATTAGTAGGCTACACTGGTATTTTATTACCCAAAATATCTTTGTGCTGTTTGCTAGATATGTGGGTAACTTTATGATCTCCCCAAAAGTTGTTGTCTTACCCTTTGAGCCTCTCTTTCTGCGGAGAGGCTCATGCCATTCTAACTACAGGTTACTGATTTCCTCTTACAGTTTTTTGACTTTAGCGTTGGACCTTGTTCTGAACTGGAGCAAAAGGAGTTTCATTTGTGGCAGGTGGAGTTAGATCAGCTTGGGCTACTGGGGACCTCTAAATGTGAAACTAGAGAAGGTTGTCAGCCTTCTTTGGAAACAACTTAGGAATTAATTGCTTCTCATAAAAGTTTCCAAAGGTCATTGTTTGGTGACACAAAATGGTTAATCAGACTCCTTCAGATGCAAACAGCAAGTCTAGGTAGTTCAGAAAATCTACAGAATGATTGTTGTTTCTGTGATAAAATTAAACCAAATCTGATACTGGATACAAACTTCCTGAAAGTGTTACATTTTAAGGCCTTTTTTTTGAATGTCTATTAAATACAGTTTGTATTACAACATTTGTACATTTGGAGATGTGCAGTATTTCTAAATCTTGTTGTGCTTAATGTTTTATTTAAATTGAAGATTAATTTTTATTTATATAAAAATTGTGATTTGCATTCAATAGCCCTCCAGGGTAAAGGGAGACATAGGTCACTACACCGATGGAAATTCTGCTCCTTTAGTGCACTGCGTTAGACTTCTGTCAGCCTCTTTTCTACTTACTGGGGAGAAAGGAGGTAAGTTTTTCTGTTCAAGACTCATTGTGGCTCTCCATGTACAAAATTGGAAATGTGATCAGCTTACTCTGGTTTTTAATTCACTTTATTGGAAATTTTAGGGGTGGCGTTTTTCTCTGACAGTCCTGATTTAAATGATCACAGCAGAGTACAGAAAAACCTAAATAAAATTTATGCCATTTTACAATAAGTCCCACTTTGAACCGTTGGGCATCTAAAGAAGTGTTATGGGAACTTAGCCTGTAAGTCAAATATTTAAAAATTTACAAACTCTAAATGTAATTATGAGACTTAATCTGTGGGGTCGTGATGGTTTATAGATTGTATGAAGCTGCAAAGACAATCTAATATCAGTATTTCTTTTTATCAGTGTTCAGTGCCCAGTTTGTCCACTATAGAAGTATCAATACCTCAGTAAAGAAACACTTTTCTGAGTTGCAGTTCATTCTGTGGAAACTCCTAAAAACAAGTTCAGAAGAATATAGTTCTTTCAAGTACTTGTCTTAATATTTTTACAATTGATTTATCACTCAGTTGTGTTTGAATTCCATGTTAATTTTTTGAATGTACTTCAGGTAGGGGAAGTGGTACTGTTGTACCCACTTGTGTTTGGGAAATGTAACTTTGTATTTTAAGTTACTCAGCTGTAGTAAAGTAGAGAATTGAGCTAAGCTTTTCAAAGGCCTAACTGAAATCTCAGGTTGAAATTTTTCTCTGCTTTTAAAATCTTAGAGCATTTGCCTAAGTTAGTGTGGCCATTTTTCATGTATTTTTTCACATGTGACAGTCAAAGAGAAGCTTTTTGATGGTAAGTGATTGTTAGAGGAGGCTGCTGGGGCTCAAAAGAGGAGTTATTTACCTTTTCAGCATAGTAATAGAATGTCAGTGGGGATTTCCCAGAAAGCCTTTATGGCATACACTGCTTCCATTTTTTTCACTGGGAAGTCTGTCATAGGCATGTGTGTATGTGTCATGTCTGAAGTGAGCATTTAAGATGTTTGTTCTTTTTCCCTTTTCTAAACTGTTCTTTGTTCATGTGCTCTGCTAATGTAGTGTTCTTGTAAGACAGTGTAGTAGCTGTATTCTCAGCAATGAAGAAATGTGAGTGTTGGATGAAGTGGATGGCGGGGGGAGCTATTTATTTCTATTTAAGAACAAAATGCGCCATATAGCACTGCTGCCTCTGATAAACTGGAACTACCTGCTCTTCCTACATATTTTTTTTTTTATTTCTATTTTTCTATAGAAATATTTCTATTTTTCTATAGAAATTTCTATTTCTAAATTATAGAAATTTAGAATTTCTAAATTCTTTCTATTTAAGAACAAAATGCGCCATATAGCACTGCTGCCTCTGATAAACTGGAACTACCTGCTCTTCCTACATATTTTTTTTTTGTCCAGGCTAAGCTATTTATATAATACAGAGTTATTAATTAACTTAAAAACAATTCAGGAAGCTTTTAAATACCTTCCCTTTTTTTTTTTTTCCTTCCCAGCTTTGGTTCCTGATAGAGATGTGAGAGTCAGTGTAAAAGCCCTAGCAGTAAGCTGTGTTGGAGCAGCTGTTGCACTTCACCCTGAGTCTTTCTTCAGCAAACTGTATAAAACACCCCTTGAAGCAATGGGAGAAGAGTATGGTATGTTGCAGTTCACATACTCCATTTTAATAGTGTGTTTGGGTTTTCAACTAAGTGAGGCAGCATCTATACTGAAAACACTAAATCCAGTTTAGTATTTGCAAACAAACATTGCATCAATTGGAATGAACTTGCTGTCTGCACTAGTAGCACATGTGGAGAGATTTTTTTTTTCTGTAATAAGAGTTCAGTTTCAGTGGATGAACTTGTGCAGCTTCTGACAAGTTGAAGCTGTTTTGCTATGACTGTTATGCAGAAGTGGCTTATTTATCTTATAAATGGCTGCTTCTAATTTATATCAGGCCATCTTGTAGATGGTTTGTAAGTCATTAGGTTCATTTTTATGAATGCTACAATATAATCATCAGGTACCTGGAGTATTCAACTGGTTTGATATTGATAGTGGCAAAGGTGGAGCATTGACATAGATTTCCTCAGAGCATTTTGTGTACAACTGAAATAAATCACTGGTGGTTTTATATGTGATTATTGGTCTGGATGGTGTGAACAACCTGTAGATTACATGCAAGGGATCTCTGAAAGGTAGAATTAAGGCGGGAGCATTGTGAATGTGCTGACATTGATTGTACAGTAATTAGTTCCTCCACTCAAACATTTTTAGGAATCAGTTAAGTCTAAGACTAGTATTTTTAAAATAAAGTAGTTATAACTTATTTTCTTAGAGGAGCAGTATGTATCAGATATTCTGAACTACATTGACCATGGAGATCCCCAGATTAGAGGAGCTACTGCCATTCTGTGTGGAACAATTGTCAACTCCATTCTAACTAAATCCCGCTTTGATGTGGAAAAATGGCTAACAAATGTCAGAAGCTCAACAGGTAACAATTTATTTTAAGGGTGTCTTTTTTTCAATGTAACCAAAATTTTCTTTTGTTTCATTGCTTTAAATTTTTTTTTTGTTAGGAAATCTCTTTTCCTTGGTAGACTGCATACCTCTGTTACAGAAGACGTTGAGAGATGAGTCCTCTGTTACATGCAAGCTGGCTTGTACAGCTGTGAGGGTAAGCAGAAGTAGTAACTTATTCGCACCACCACAGATCACAGGGGCGTTATTCATTGACTAGGAACCTGCTATGCTCAGGTGTATAAACATGGAGCAAAAAATTAGTTCTTCCCCAAGAACTTAATTGTAGAAAACATGGATTCAGGCACAGAAATGGAGAAACAAAAAGCTGGAAAATAATTACGTTGGTTAGATCGTGCAGCAGTATAATCTAATTGCAGTATTTCCAGTTATAAATGTACTGGTATGAACTGAAATGTTACATTAACCAACAACAGGATGGGTGCATTAGATAGAAAGGATATCTAGCCTCTAACAGGGAAGCGTGACGTAACATCTGGTTGTAGCCTGTATTTGGAGATCAAAAGTTAAATGTGAGAAATGGCAAGTAAAATAGTGATTATTTTCTGAAATAATTTTTAAAAGTGAAGAAAGTCTCAGGAAAGTGTTTCAAATTGTGTGAAAGATCCATCAGGCAATTGTTAAGATAGAGATGATAGCTGAATTTGTAAGTGGAACCTAGAGCATGTGAATTTCATTTCAGTAATAAAATCTGTGGAAAGTGTAATGTGAAAAAGCAGAGGGGTGGAGGAGTGAGCTTCTTGAGGAGTTTTCAAAAAGAAGTGGAAGAACAAGGACAAACTGGAGGCCAAGGGAAATTAATTCATCGGGGAGAGGCACAGAGTAGCTGACTATTGCAGCTTATTGCTCAGTGAGGCAAAGTATAGCTTTTAGTAAAATGCAGATAGTTAATGTATGGAAAATATGATTTCATGTGCTAAGAGCAGGGGTCTGTGATGCAGCTGAGGGAAGGAAATCCACTCAGTTAAATGATGCAGTCTTTTTAACCTTCTGTTCCATGATCTTATTGTTTGTATATAGTGGTTTCATGTATGATTACACTTATGATTATGGCTTTTTAGAAGGCTTCACTAGAATTGTTCAGTTAAGGCCAACTTATACTAGTTAACTTTGACTTTTTCTTTCTCTCTATATGTAGTGTAGCCTGACTTCATACCTTTTGGCAGAAATTTTCTAAAGCATTTTGGGTTGTTATTCCCTAAACAAGAAAGTATATTTTTGTGTAGTTAAATAAGACATAGAAGTGTAGAGTTCTTGTAACTTTTTTTTCCAAAGATCACACATTGTGCATATAGTTGAGCAATCATTAAAATGAGGAAGTATGACTTTTTGAAAAAACTCTGGAAATCAGAATCAAAATACCCCGTGGAAATTAAGGGCGTCTGGTTTTGAATAGATAAGAATATAGTGCTTGTGGTGTTTAAGCCCTGTGAGATTTAGACCACTCTTGGGAGGATTGTCCTCTGATCTGAGGCTTATGTTCCCCTCAAGTTTAAATTCAGCAGCAGGTTTTAGCAGTTCACGTGGAGCTAGTGTCCTAGCCTTGCAAAGTATCTAGCTCTGGTACCTTCTCTTAGCTGTTAAGCAATAACTTTTTTTATATTCTAAATAGATTTTTATGATCACTTACATACTTTGATCCAGAGAACCTCTTCTATAATATAACTGAAAGTTGTTTTTTCTTCTCAGCATTGCATCATGAGCTTAAGTAATAGCAGTTACAGTGAACTAGGTTTACAATTAATTGTTGACCTCCTTATGCTGAAGAATAGCTCATATTGGCTAGTAAGGACGGAACTTCTGGAAACACTTGCAGAGATAGATTTTCGGTAAGTGTTTGTATTTTTCAATGGGTGTTGTACCTGCAGTGCAAGATGCTGTGTATAGGAAACTGGAATCATAATGGAGCAGCTTCTTCTGAAACATTAACACGTTTCATAGAACTAATTCATACCAATCGTTCCTATATGGAATGTATGAATTCCTTTGTCAAGTTACCATTGACTTCACTACCAAGCCCAGTCCTAGTAACACTGTACAGGAGTCTAGTTCAGTGGTCTGTTTTATCAAGTCTGCTGTAAGTCTGTGATCAGGAAGGGACCATATAATCTGGAAACTAACTTGGATTTCATGTCCAGTTGTGTGTGTTTTTAAAGAAAAAGTCCCGGACTTGTTCTGCATTATTGTCAGTTCTCTTCTGTTGATCAGTTTCTGTTATACTGAAATGAATATGACTTTACTTCCTTTTCTTGCATTCCATTATTCTCTACAGGTTCTTCCAAGCTGAAAGACAAAAGATGTTTATATGAAAATTCTTCAAGTTGCCCTTAGTCATACAAAACTGGACTCTTTCCGAATAGTGATATTTGGAATATGTTAACATCTTTTTCAAAACAGTCTGATTTTTCTGTGCAAGGGGAAAAAAATACAATTACAATCACAAAATGTAAACAATGTTTTTTCAACTAGAGAAAAGTAATTATTCTGTTACACTAGCCAAATAGTAGGTTAGCAAATATCTTACTATTTGCTGCCTTTAGAAAAGGTTTGTTTACTTCTTACATTTTCCCTGCACTGTTCTTCTTAAAAATTAAATAAAAAAAAAAAACCTTCAGAGCACTGAAAGGGGAAATAACATTTAATGTTAACTATTGTGCTTTAAATTCTACTTTTACCATAGGCTAGTCAGCTTCTTGGAAGGAAGAACTGAGAGCTTGCACCGAGGTAGTCATCATTATACTGGTGTAAGTAAATTATTCAATCAGTATATATAAGGTAGCAGTGCAATTTCAGCACTTCATGTGTAATTCTATCAACACTGATAGAAGAAGGCTTATGTTCTGAGACTTGTTGCAATTGTAAAGATACTTTACTACTGAGATTCAGATATCTTAGTATTCTCGGGGGGGTGGTTTTTGGTGTTGTGGGGTTTTTTTTAATTTTCGACATTTATGTATTTAAATAGAGCATTTAGCAGTGTTAAGCTAAAGATTGTCTTACAGATGGAGGAAATGTCACTTGTTAACTATCTTTTAACAATCTGGTCAAATGATGAAAATGTTCAGTGAACTTTACTGTGCTAACTTATTTTCTAGCTACTAAAACTTCAGGACAGAGTGCTTAATAATGTTGTAATATGTCTGCTTGGAGATGAAGATCCAAGAGTGAGACATGTAGCTGCAGCTTCATTAATGAGGTATATATGGTTGTTGGTGTTTCCTTTTTTCTAAAAGGTTTTTAGAAAGATATTTGCATGTTACTGTATACCTACAACAAAATAATCCCTTAGTGGGTTTTTTATATTTTTGTTTAAGGGATGAGACACATTTGTTTAAATGCAGAAATGCAGCTTTATGGTACCTGGAACATGCATCATTCTGAGTTATCAGGCAATTGTGCTTTGCTTTTTATTAGCATTACAGTTACATGTAACTATTACATTCTGAGGGTCACTTTCAGTTTCAACATCTGCAAGTTAGTTTTCTGCATGCTGAAGTGATTTATTCTGTATCCTGGCAGTAGTTGATGGACGTAAAATGTTGCAGGTCTACTGAGTTGTCCTACCTTCCAAACATTGTAATTTCCACACGGTTATAAGTAATGTATCTTAAAACTTTCATGCTCACTGATTATAGCAAAGTAGCTAACCTTCTTTAAAAAACAGCTGTTTGCTGTAACCTACTACAGTTACAGATAAATGTGCTGTCCAGATAAATGCATCAAACAGTAAAGATTAGTTAATAGTTTGTTTATTAGAGTTCAAGGACTTAAGTTTTATGTTTAAAGAAGTTGGGAGCATCTAATACTGAATTCCTGGAATATTTTATTGTCAGAGGAATCTCTTTCCTTTTTCAGACTATTAGTTGTCCCTTCCTAAAAATAAATAAAGGACAATGAAACCTGAAAAATTCTGCCACTTAAAAGTTGTATTGCAGAAACAGCTCAGCAGAGAAATTCACTGTTGCATCATAGCTAGTATTTGTTGCTTTTATTCAGGGACTTTATTTTGAAATTGAGTTAATTGAGTGGTAACAAATTGGAGTTTTTCTTTATCTTCATGTTGACTTAGTGACAGCAGGTGTGTTATGGCTGGAAAAGACTTAACTGCCCAAGAAAGCTGCTACAAGCTTGCAGGAGCCCCATGAAACATCCAGCATGGGCATTCATGGGAAGAACTGTCAGTGAAATCACAAAAAATGAGTACTGTAGTTTTTTCACCATTGTCTATGTTAAAAAATCTTCTTGTTCAAGAAGACTGGATCTTATTCTATGTTTAAATTTTGCTGCATTGAAATCAGATGGTGAAAAATTGTCCGTTTCAGGTAGAAATTAGTTTTCAGTTGACACAGGTATCCATGAGGAAAATATCTGGTGAGATAGGGGAACTCAGAGAGAAATAATCTAGTGAAGTCATCATTGTAGTGTGTATAGGTAGGTACCTCTATAAAATTATTTTTAACCACCATGTGACTAGAGTGGTTCTTTTGTCCTGATTTGAGCTTCTTGATTATAATGAAGAGTGGTTATATGAAGATGAATTCAGCTTTAACAATATGAGTTTTAGTAACAGCTTTTATTACAATTTGATGTGTAATTAGTGTATGCATCTTTCTGAATTGTGTATTAAATGTATTTTAAGTGTACTTTAAATTGTATATTAAATAATTTCTGAATAATGTTTTTCCTTTTTTATCGTTAAGGCTTGTTCCAAAGCTATTTTATAACTGTGATCAAGGACAGGCGGATCCAGTTGTAGCAACAGCAAGAGACCAAAGCAGCGTCTACCTGAAACTACTAATGCATGAAACACAGCCTCCATCTCACTTCGCAGTGAGCACTATCACCAGGTATGTTATATGTCTTGTCTTGCTTTAAAAAGAACGTGGAGCCAAATTTCAATTCATAATGCCTAGAATCATAATTAAATCCTGCACATCCATGTGGTTTTGAAGTCTTTTTTCCGATCTGTAGTAGTTTTAGGCTGCACGGAAACAGACTTGACTTAAAGGATGAACTGGTGTGTGAGTTACCAGGGATGTGCTCACATGATTGTAGGGAGTCGTCGTTCTGTGATAAACTTTATCTTCTTCATCTTGAGGTCACCCTATTTGTCCATGAAATTACACAAACGCGTGCAGCTTTGCAAGCTAATCATATGTTATTGTTCCTCAGCTATGTTGATCAGGCTCTTCACATCCTGTTTAATGATTGCAGTTGCAGAAATCTGTACGGCCTGTATAATTTAAAAATAAATTCTAATTTTGATAGTGTGATCTTGTTGCTGTGTTTTTCTGTCAACTATACTTTCCTAAACTCTTCTGTTTAGATATCTTATAGACAGTATGAGTTGTATATATGTATGGGGGCTCTTTGCTTCTATCAATTTGTTATACAAGTTATAATTATATACCTTTTGGTATGAAAGATACATGGTATTGATCATGTCACTCAAGATTTATATACTGTACTGTGGAACCAATAGAACTTTGTGGACCGTTATTTCAGAAACAAAATAAGTTACTTTTCTCCAGCAGTAATACAAAGACTGTGAATATGCAAAAATGTTAGATGGAATTGAGCAAAAGCAAAGACTAATGTTAAATTGGTGGTGATTTCTAGAGTACCTAATTAGGTACTGAGAGTTGGTCTGCTGTTTCTGTTTGCTGACAAAGGGATTTGATTTATAAATTAAATTGCTTTTTCTAGTATAGAAGCAAAAATAGTAAAATGTAATAAGGTGGTATTTAGGGTGCTCTCAGATTTTGTACTTTATATGCAGTCTGTAAAATATGTAATAGTAATTGAAGCCATGATCATTTTTAATTGAGGTGTTTCTTTTTTTAAGTACATATTTTAGTGGTATGAACATTTTTATTTCAGAACATACAGAGGTTACAATATGCTGCAAAGTCCAACAGATGTCACTATGGAAAACAATCTCTCAAGGGTTATTGCAGCAATTTCCCATGCATTGACAACATCCACTACAAGAGCACTTACGGTGAGTTTTCGTAGTTGCTGTATAGACTGACTTTTTTTTTGCTTGCTTGCTTGCTTTTTAATTATTTCCTGGCTATATTTGTATCTGCAGCTTTGGTACTGTGGCAATGGCAATAGTAATATATTTAATTCTTGCTCTTAAGATACTTTGTTGTTGCTAACTCTTCCAGTGATAAAGTTGATTCAGTTCCTGATGTTAACTTTTCAGTTTGGCTGCTGTGAAGCTTTGTGTCTTCTCTCCACAACATTTCCAGTCTGCACCTGGAGTGTGGGATGGCACTGTGGGTATGTTCCCTCATCAATTATTCAAACTTCTAAAAGCCATGTTTGCAAAATGGATGTATACTTATTTAGGTATCAGAAGTCCTGATTTAGATACGTGCTGTTAAGCTTATCTTAGCAGTTACTTAAGAACTTTATACAGAAGAGTGTAACATCAAGTTGTCATAATATTACCTGTCAGCACTTTGTCATCTCTGGAACTGCAGCGTATATCCCAGGGATTGGCTGCAACCGATGTAGTAGAAAAATACATGTGGTCAGCATCTACCAAAATAAGTAATAGAAGAAAATATTCCATGCTTTTGAAAGAATGTTTATCTTCAGGATATTGTGTCTTGTATCTCCTTAAAATCAGAACATCATCATTTTCTCATGTTATGTTGAAAATCAGCGGGTAAAGGAAACCGGTTCATAATTTCTTTTATAACTATAAAAGTGTCAGATGCATTTAAATTGTTCTCATTTGCCACACTGAACGGGAACAGCAAATAAGATATCTAGAATACTTGTGTCATATAGGTAACGCATGATAGCCCCAAAGTACTTACATACTGAAGAGTTTCTTCAGAATGTAATTGTGCAGTTGGCAGCTCTAAAGTTTCGATCTTGCCTCTAATTATCAATGGGCTGTGCCCCATGAGCTGTAAAACTAGCTACTGAAGATGTGCACATGTGGAACTGTGGTTTTTAAACAGATTTAACATAATTTGTGTTGAATTTCTTTATTGCTGTTGTGTCTCTACTCTTATTTTACTCTTCTGGTATCCTGAAATTCTATTGCAAAAATTTTTTTTAAAAACAAACCCCAAAGCAGCAACAACAACAAACCCAACCCTCCCCAGCTGCTTTTCTTGTTGATGTGCCCTTCCCTTGCCAGCCGTAAGCGTGGTGTGCTCTGTATATGCATTCTAAATGATGTCGTTTGAGCTATAGGTCTAATTTTAACAAATTAAGTAGTTAGGATGTGAGCAGTACTTAACTGGAAAATAAAATCAGTGCAGAATTGCAACAATGTGTTTTCTGCTCTAGCCAGCTTAAAATGCTACTTTTAGGATGCATCTAATATTCACCAGTGATGCAATGACATTGCCCTTGACCTTTCCTGTAATTCCTTCTTTACGAATTTTTGTCCCATGTTCATACTAATTTGGGTTGTAACTTTATTTTTGCAGAATGATACCAAAATTTATCACTCTAGGTAATAAGAATATAACAACATGGATATTGACATGAGAATTTTGCCAAAATTCTTTTCTGTCTTAAGTGTTGTCATTCTTAAGATTAAAAAGCCATTGGAACTTCTGCATTCCAACTGTGTAAAACTCAGCATAGATTAATTAATGGGTTTCTAACTATGTATGTAAAGTAAATAACACTTGCATATGAAAATACTTATTTTTTAAAAAAAGGCACTGTAATTACCTGTGTAGCTTTGTCAAAATAATAGCTATGCTCAGTGTAAATATTATTTTGTGAAATTGCTCTAGTTGTAGTAGACCAGAATGACTACATTAGAAGCTTTTTTTTAAGCTAAAATAAATACTGAAAGAATCCCTTAATTTAGAGGTTGAATAAAGTCTTATCCTGAAAGACCTTAGTAGTATTGTGAAGGTCTTACAGTTTTGAAATGTGTGTAATTCACATAAGTATTCTAATAAACATCTTTTGGTGATCTTTTCCTGCTCCTTTGGAAACCTGAGTTGCGTGGGTAAATCTGATTTTTTTTAAAAAAAATTATTGTAAAGGGAAATATAGAATGCAACAGCAAGTTAGAATCTTGGGTAGAGTCCACCCATAGATCTAGATGATTTAATGGATTACAATTATTTAATTAAATTCTTGTCACTTTAAAACAATACCTTGTTACATTGCAATACTACGGCTTATGCCTCCATCCCTACCCTGCATATGTGCAAGACTTTTAACTGGAGATAGTTCAGGACCATATGTAATAAATAAATACATAATAAATACAGAAATACAGAATTCTTCAGTTTATCAGTAGGTGTCACTAGCAGCTTTGATATTTGCTATTTAAAAAAAAGTAACAGCTCTTCATGAAGACAAAGTATTGTCAGGTCTTTGCTGCAAACTCGTTTTCTATGTCTTACTTGAGTGTTAAATGTGTATTTCTGTAGTTCTGATTTTTTTTTTTTAGGTTAACAGTCTACTTGATGGTTAGTTTTCTTAAGACTTTAAACTTACCAAAATGGGGGCGGGGGGGAGTCATAGAATCACAGACTTGTTAAGGTTGGAAAAGACCTCTAAGGTCATCAAGTACAACCATGAGCCCAACAATATCATTCCCACTAAGTCATGACATTCCAAAATTATACTTCCAGTGTTTCCCAGCCAAGTCCTTCAGATGAAGCTCAGAAGGGCTGCACCATTGGAATGGCTGGCATGGTCCTGTCTCTCCTTTCATCAGCATGGTTCCCACTGGACCTCTCTGCACATCAGGATGCTTTGATTTTGACTGGAAACTTGCTTGCAGGTAGGGCAGAACAAGAAAAGTAGGATTGTCCTGGTATTTTTACCATTAGCTTCAGAAGGCCCATACCTCACCCTACTCTGACTGCACGCAACGAAATACTTGCAAGTTTGGGCGAGAGAAATAAAGAAGAAATTTCTTGCACCCAGGTTTGAAAAGTTACTGCCTCCAATCAAATTTCCTTTAGCTAACAAAGGGAATGTGCAGTATGCTTAGTACAGCCTGGGTACAAAGAATTAACTTATATTTGTTGTTGCTTAAAACTATGCATCTACTGCTGGTTGTGAAAATATAGGCTCTATCGTTCTGTTTGAATTTCTGTTCATATAGAAACGATAACCATATATGCCTTTAAAATTTTCTGATCCATAATTCCAAGGTTTTTTCTTCTTTAAATAATGTGATTCCTATTGCAGCAAGTGCGCCAAAGTGCTTAAAGAATCCCTGGAGTGCTGAAGAAGATTCCAACCAAGGTGCTGCAAAGCAGGAGGAACCCTGGCCAGCTCTGGCAGATCGATCGCTTGTTACTTTAGTAGAACAGCTCTTTTCTCATCTGCTGAAGGTCATTAATATTTGTGCACATGTAATGGATGATGTTGCTCCTGGCCCAGCAGTAAAGGTATGTATCAAAGACAAATAAATAAAATTGACTTAAACACTGTTGTGACACAGACCTCTTCAAGGCTCTGTGTTCTAGAGTTGATACAGGTAACTATCTAATGTGACCCCACTATGGATAGGGAAGCAAGTAACATGAAAAGAACATGCATGTTGCTCTCCACATAAAAGGTTTTTCTTTAGTTCTACGGTGTTTGTAATATTACCGTAAATTTTGTACCTTTTATTCCTGGTGACTTCACCTGAAACACTAATTCAGAGGAGTATATATATAGTAAATGGAGTGTTGGATTGTGTACTCTGGCAAATATCTGTTGACTTTTGGGTTGGTTGGCTGTAATACACTGATCTTCTTTTGGGGCTAAAAATAACTCCTCTATCTTTTGAATATCCTGCAAAATATTTTTATTTCTGAAAGAGCTAATATGAGCTACTTTTGGGTTTGGGGTTTTGTTTTGGATTTTTTTGAGGCATCTACAGTTTGAGACTGATTTAATGACTGTAAGGGTATGTTATTAGGGTTAGTAATTTCCTCCTATTTTAAAAATGTGAGAATATTTTTTTCACGCTCTTTTGTTTGGAATCAAAAGAAACTTTAGTCATTGAGCTCGAATTCCATCTCATTGGCTTCTGCTGAAGTTGGGAAGGAAAGTAGGGAATATATTAAACTTCTTCCTCTTCACCCAGGAAATTCATGTCCTGAGCTTGAGAGTTGAGACATTTCGATTTAACTGACAGTCAAGTAAAGGGGAGTTTAAACAAAAGATGAATATGCTTATATTTGTGTAGAAGAAGAAAAGCTTCTTTTAATAAATTAATAAAGCTTCTTTTAATTCTAGGCAGCATTACCTTCTCTCACAAACCCACCTTCTCTTAGTCCAATTCGGAGGAAGGGCAAAGAGAGGGAGTCTGTTGAACAGGCATCTGTGCCAATGAGCCCTAAAAAAGGTGGTGAAACAAGTCCAGGTAGGCACACTTACTCCTATTAACCCTCCCACCTAAATACAGTTACAGCATAGAGAGAAGAAATTGAGTAACTTGTTTTCTGAAGTTAGTTCAAAAGGCTAGCAGACCTACTGTCAGAAGTTCTTTTCAGTCAAGTAGTACAGGAGAGGCAGCTGTGGGTGGAGGCTTCTTTACTCTTTTGTTTTTCATGAAAATTAACTGTACTTTTCAGAAGCAAGGTCATTCTGAATCTTCTTCCTCCCTGCTTTTTCTGAATCTACTCAGCTATTGACTAAAATTAAGTAATTTTTTGCATCTATCTTAAAAGAAGTTTGAAAGTTGCTTTGCAACTTCTTGGCAGGAGTAGCTTACTTTTTCTCTTGGAAATAAGATTCTGAAATCTTAAACTTTTTTCTTTAGAAATCAATGAAGGAAATGGGTGTTAATTCTGTTTTGTGAATTGTACTTGCACTTAATAATAAGCCCTCTGGGCTAATTTCTCTTATATCAGAGGACTATTTTCTTGGAATGCTAGTTTGTTTTCTAGTGTACAGCATGTGTTTTTGCAGTTTAAAATATGCACGTGAATTGAAAAATTCATGCTGTCTAATAATTCAGATATGGTAAATTATGTTAAGTATACATGTCATGAGCACCCTAAAAAAAGTATGTTGTGCTAATCTATGATACACTTTTAAGCTGCTAGGCAAACTGATGCTACTGGGCCTGTTCCAACAAGTAAATCCTCTTCAGTAGGAAGCTTTTATCATCTTCCGTCATATCTGAAGTTATACGATGTCTTGAAAGCAACTCATGCTAATTATAAGGTACTACATGGTATTGTTTGACTGAATTAGAATGTGGTTGGGCAGTTACTTTGTGTTTCTTTTAAACACTGTTCTGGTTGTATTGAGACTCGCTTGTTTGCCTGTGTAAATGGTTTATCTACACACACAAAAAAAAAATTAAAAAAAATCGCAGCCACCACCAATAAAAACAAAACAACAAACAAAACCCTCTCCCAAGCATTGTGACCCTACTGCTTGTTTCTCTGCTGTCACTAATGTTGGTACCAAATTACCCTTTGCTGGTGTGACAGTGCCAAATGGATCCCAATGTCTGTTCTCTCTGCTGTGTATTCCAGTATGGGTAGGCTTTTTCCTCATTAGTTCAGGTAAAAGAAGATGCATTGCCTAAGGGCTTGATGATCCGATTTGTACACTTCAGGGGGTGTACTGTGATTACACCTACTGTGTTTCTGAGAAATGCATTATCCCTTCTTCATTACTTGTCAACATCCTAGGCCTTCCTGGATGCTGCAACTTCCTCAAGCTAGAAGATCCCTTTCTTTTCTTACTCAAAATGAAGTCCTACCTTTCCAACAATTCATAAGAGAGTCTAAGCTGTCAGTGGTCTTGATTGAACTATGCTGACATTTTAGGCAAAAGGTCATTTTCTGTCAATATCCACTTCTTTCTGTAACATTTAATCCCCTTGATGAGTAATTGTTAAGGAAGTGTGTTTTTACTTTCTGGGACCAGGTTACTTTGGATCTCCAGAACAGTAATGAAAAGTTTGGATGTTTCTTACGGTCTGCCTTAGATGTTCTGTCTCAAATCTTGGAACTTGCTACTCTTCAAGACATTGGAAAGGTATAAGATTTGTGTGGTTTTTTTCTTTTGTAAGTAAATTGTCCAGTATCTGTGGTCGTTACTGGGGAAGAGTGCATATCATTTGATTTTAAAATTGGTACTGTCGAGAGAGACAATAATCCTAGAAGTGTTGTGCTGCCACAATGTTGGGTAAAGTGCTAAAGCACATTTTCTGGGTTAAATTGCTGCTGTTGAAAACTGAAATTTACTGTTTAAATTTAATGTGGAGATTTTTCTTTCCAGCAACATGGCTTGCTTTCAGTCATTCTTACTATATTAATAGTGTTTAAAGACAGTCATGTTAAATACACAAAATGTCAGAAGGCATACTCCTCTCTTTCCTCTCCTGTGTCTTGATTATTTTTTTCGTTAATTGGTGTCAGGCATTGTGATACTTTTAAGACTAGGAGGCAGATCTTTCGTTTTTATTACTTTACATACTTCCACGATTTCCCTTAAAGCAGTGTAGTTGTATGTAGTAAAAACACCTGCTGTTGTCCAGTTTTCATCATAATGCTTTATATAATGAAGAAAAATGCAATTAGGTTCACTTGTTGTTCTGCTTTTCTAGTGTGTGGAAGAAATTTTGGGATACCTAAAATCATGTTTCAACAGAGAACCAACAATGGCAACAGTCTGTGTACAGCAGGTAAGGAGGTAATTTTTTTGTGTATTACTAGAAGGTTAAACCTGATGTCCTGTGCTTATCAACTGGCTACTAAGACTGGCCATTCTTTTAAGGGAAGTGCTATGAGGGAACTGTGGCCTAGGTGGAACAAACAGAGCATGTTTTCTTTAATTTTCATGACTTGTTCTTAAACTTGGTATCATCTGAATAATATAGTTTCTTCTTGACCTGCTTCTAATTCAAAGAACTATTTTAGCTACTGCTCAGAAAACAAGTCTGTTTCCTACCTTCCCAAATGTGTTTTGTAGCCAGTTAACTACATCAAAAACCTGGAAAGCAAAGAACTGCCTTACTGGTGGATTTCTTGCAGGCTTCCAGTTAAACATTTGGGTTCAAGTTGTCATAGCTTAATTTTGGTGGGAGGTGAGCTTTAGTAGATTATTTTGAGTTGTCACATGGAAATAGCTTCAGTTGCAAAAACAATCATCTCTCTTTGAGTGGTGTGTGGATTGTTTCTTTTTTCCTGCTTTTTTTCTGTCATCTTGTATTTGACTACGTGATCCACAATTTGCACTTTGACCTTTCCTCTTAAGATCTTTGGGAGGATGAGGAGTCGAATTTTTTTCCTAAAATGTTAACTTTTTTTCCTTCCAATTTTCTTCTCTAGTTATTGAAAACACTATTTGGGACAAATCTGGCTTCTCAGTACGATGGCTTGTCTTCAAACCCCAACAAAGCTCAAGGCAAAGCTCAACGCTTAGGTTCTTCCAATTTGAGACCTGGTCTCTATCATTATTGCTTCATGGCACCATACACACATTTTACACAAGCCCTCGCTGATGCTAGTCTAAGGAACATGGTTCAGGCTGAGCAGGAACACGATGCTTCAGGGTAACTTTCTTCCATTATCATATAACTTGAACTAGAATATCTTTTTTAATTGTATTTCAATAATGCAAGTATCATAGGGGAGCTAAGTAACTTGAAATTACAGTATTGTATGTTAGTTATTTCTTGTAGAGTTGAGCAGAGTAATCAGTCTTGGTAGTGAGATTTTGAATGCAACACTATTGATTATCACTGATGGGTTTTCCAAATCAAAACTAAATCATTAAAATGGGTATCATTTAAGTTTTTTTTTAAAGCATAATAATTTTGAATGCTTATATTCAAAACTGTTTCATTAATTTGCTAATTGTAGGAAATAGTAGTCTTAAAGGAGAGGCAGAAGGATGACTAGGCAAAGACCAGAAATTTTTTTCTCTACTAGATGTTTATTGTCCACAAATCTGTGTGATCTGATCAAAGTGTACTGTAGCTTATCTGTTGCTCTTTTGTTTTATTAAAGATTCTTGAAGTGGTCAAGTAGATAAAGAAAAGTTGTCATTGGTAGAACAATATGCATCTAAGGAGAGTGTGTTTGTCCTTCCATTTTTTTTAATGTGTTTGGGGTTCTTTTTGGTTTTATGACAGATGGTTTGATGTGCTGCAAAAAGTTTCTACACAGCTGAAAACTAGCATTACCAGTGCAGCAAAACATCGTGCCGATAAGGTACTTTTATCTATGTACTCCTGAAAGAGCTGTATCTTAAATTTAAAACATTTTTCCTCCTTCTAAACCGTAATTTGGTTTTGAATCAGAGACCTGTTCAGGTGTTAGATTACTTTAAAATCTCTCTATTACAGAATGCTATTCACAATCACATTCGTTTATTTGAACCCCTTGTCATAAAAGCATTGAAACAATATACTACAACAACTTCAGTACAGCTGCAGAGACAAGTTCTAGACTTGCTTGCTCAACTGGTTCAGCTACGAGTTAACTACTGTCTTCTGGATTCGGATCAGGTTGGTACCTCACCATTTTTGCAAATTTGTAAAACATGGGTCTCGCCAACAGGCTTAATATTTACAGCAAAAATACTTGTAACAATCCATTCATTGTACTATAGGAGAAAACAGACTTGTTTTGGAGGGTGAGACTCAAGTCTTCCCTGAACCACAAAGAACTTGAAATAAAAAAAAGGTTTTTTATTGCATATAAATTATTTTGTAAGCTCTGCAACAACTATTTAAGAACTGTTCATCAGATTGACTTTAGGAACAAGGTGATGTGGACAATACAATCAGAGTTGTTAAATAAAGATTCATTTACAAATACAAATACCTTCTTTCTATGTTGAGAATATGGACTTCCATATCACTGTTGGTGAGCATCATGTTTGACAAACATAATTTGATTTTAATGGCGGGGGGAAGCTAGTGGTAATTATAGTAGCCTGTGTGGTTGTCCATATAAGCAGTAAATTTGTAATATAAAATGAAATTTAAGTGTTTTATTTACAAATGTTTTGTTTACTACAGTATTTTTGGGTTTATAAACTAGTATGAGTTGCAATAAATAACTTCCTTTTAAGTTTGTATGTAGATTCTTAACTTCTTGACTGTAGTACCTCAAATAGTGTGTGTTACATGAGTGTCAAAGTATACTTTAAAATACATAGACAATAGGTAAAATGTGGCTTAAGTTCATGCAAACCATAATAAGCTCTAACATCAACGAGATTCTGAAGATCATCTCTAACTGCAGAGGGAGCACTTCATAACCTATTAGAATAAACTATAAGTATAAATGATTTTCAGTGCCTCTCTTTCCTTTCTCTCCTTCCAAAACATGCACTTTTATAACTCTCTCAAGATGATTTCAAATGGGAATTAATGTCTCTGTATCTGTTGTACACTTTATTCTCTCTTTAGGTGTTTATTGGATTTGTGCTAAAGCAGTTTGAATACATTGAAGTAGGACAGTTCAGGTATGAAATTAGCAAAGATCCTTTGAACAGTGTTGGTTTACAAAATTTATTGTGGAGCATGTAGTGATTAGTTTTGCATGTTATTTCTGCCTTATAAGAAAGGGAGAGTTACATTCTGGGCTTGTTTATTTTGTGGCTCCAGTGATAGCCCTTTCAGATAACTTAGGTTCCATGTGGTTGAAGAAGTCGGGAAGTAGCATGGGGGAAAAAAGTTAAGCTGTGTTGTGCTGTTTCTCCCTTTAGTATTGTAAAACCATTCCTTTGGGACCTGCCCCCTGCCCAAAGCTATGCTTTCAGGAATCGGCACTTCATTACTAGAACTCGGTTGCTGAAGGGAGAGCTGCTGCTTCCTATTGTGGACTCAGTGAGAATCCATCTGTGTTCTGATCACCTGGTACATCTTCTGTAGTACCTAATAGATCATAAGCAATGCAGTGGAATTTTTATTGTCAGTTATTTCTGTTTTTTCTCACACTTGAGCTTGTATGAAGAGATAAGGGTGGGTTTTGCTCTGTAGGTCTCCTACAGAAATATGTGTGTCGTGCATTCGATAGTATGTTGTAACACTAGTATCTGTGTAATGGTCAAAGGTGTGAAGAAATCCCTTGGAAAAAACTCCATAATAAAGAACAAGGCACAAAAATTATAGAAATACTGTATGAAAGCAGAACAACACATACTTGAAAAATGGAAGTTTTACTATAAAAAGATTGTTTTTTACTGAACAGAGTTGTGCAATTCAAACTTGACACTTTTAATTTTTTTTTTTTCAGGGAGTCTGAAGCAATTATTCCTAATATCTTTTTTTTCCTGGTGTTGCTGTCTTATGAGCGGTATCATTCCAAACAGATAATTGGAATTCCTAAGATCATTCAACTGTGTGATGGTATCATGGCCAGTGGGAGGAAAGCTGTTACACATGGTAATTTAGAAAAAGAAAAAAAAGGCACCAACACTTCAGCAGTAGAAACAGTATTTAATACTAAGCTATAGAAAACTGTAATCATACTGATTGTTCCAGAAGACACTAGCTTTTAAATTTCTAATATATGAAATCAGTCTCACTTCCTTCAGGAAGTTTATTTGTCCCTTCATTGTACAAGTTTATTGTACCCTACTAACACTGCTACCACATATTTTGCATCGTGCATAATAGCAACAAAGCTTTTATTTAAAACTTTTAGGTAATAAGCTCACAACATAGCAGTACTTTTAAAGGCTTAGATTTTAATTTTCAGTACACTTGCCTTTCCCTCCACCTTCAACCTTTACATAGAAGCATCTTTCTCATACTTTCCAGTGATTCTGCTGTGAAATACTTCATTTAAAATATCTATTTTACCTCTATGAGAATGGGCAAATGTGTCCATAATATGAATTTTCTCATAGAAGTAAAAAGATAGACATCATTATGCATGTTAAGTTTGGGGTTTGTTTTGGGTTTCATTTTTTTGAGGGGCTGGTAAAACCTTTAATAAACTAAAGCACAGTTTACTTTTAGTAGCTGAACTGTTAGAACAAGAAAGTACTGTTTGAGAGTGACTTGTTTTATGCTAAAACAGACAAATCTAATTTCAGCAATACCAGCTCTGCAACCCATCGTTCATGATCTCTTTGTGTTAAGAGGAACAAATAAAGCTGATGCTGGAAAAGAGTTGGAAACACAAAAGGAGGTGGTAGTATCAATGCTGCTGAGACTTATTCAGTACCACCAGGTAAGAGAGGAGGACAAAGTGTCCCTCTATACAGCCTATAAAAGGGTAATGTTGCTTTGACTGCTAAAAATGCTTCAGGCAATATTAATGATTTTCTACAAAACTTGAATAGCTGGAATCTGATCTTTCCTCATAGAGGATTTGCAAAGATTTTTGGGTGTAGAGGAAAGCTGCTGCATTACAAATCAGTATTTCAAGTCAAATAACATATCTGGGGGATTTTAGTCAGGCCTCAGTAACAAAGCACTGAAAGTGATCCACTTAGGATCACTATCTTGGTTGTGTTGCAGATTGAATAAGCAGAAGGTTAGTAGAAGAGTTGTAATAAATTAGGATTCAAGAAACTTAAAAGAATGGGGGTAAAAGTGGGAGAGGACAGGATTAAAAGTAGGAAACGTGCTGCATAGAGAAGATTTGCTGTACAATAGCAATATCTTCAATAGCATTTTAAAATATGAATTATTTGAATAAGGTAACGAAACGGGTAGTTAGACAGTGGTTGTGCTTACTTCTTTGCCCCAGACCTCATGGGTCTGCAAAATATATTTCTGCCTTGTAGGAGTATAAGAATTACTTTCTTGAATACACTTAGCCTAAAAGAAAAATGTAAAAGTGATTTTAAGAGAAGTGACATAATTAACATGGGATCTTATTGCTTTTTCAGGTGCATAACAAACTTAATGTGTTTTTCCTTTCATCATGTGAAAATGCAATTCTAGTGTATGCTATAATGTAAGCAATGTATTTTCTGAGCATAGTTGGGGAAAAAAGGCAGTACATCTTGTCAAAATAATTTAGTAGAACTGCATGTTCAGATTGGGGTAATTTTGTGTATCCACATTTTCTTTTGAATTTGTAGTTTTATAACCATAAAATGACTAATAACTATGAAAAGACACTCTGTAGACACATGATGTGAAATAGTGAATAACTTTGTTACATAAGGTACTGCAATTGCCAGCAGATCCCCTTCTGACACACTTAACCTATTAAAGACCATCCATACACTGCTCTTCCCATACCATCCCATTTGTAGTCCTTACTCTGTCCAGTTCTGCTGGTGCAGTATGTATCAACTAACACCTGGGCAGTTCTGTTGTTCCCTGGTTGTGGCTGGGATGTTCTCCAGTGATGTAGCTGTAATTTGAGAGACTCCAAGAGCTGCAGCCTTCACCTTTTTTGTTACGACTGTAGCTACTGTCCATGGAGCTCTAGGATTCGAGTCATTCAGCCCAGAATCACTCCTCATCTCCTCTATCATGAGAAAGCTTTTTGGGAAGAAAGTAATGTGGTCATCTGTTTCTTAATTGGCTGCGTTTCTTAATCTGAACTACTTGAATTTCTTTTATGAGTGCTTCATCTAACTAGTTTTCTGAACCAGATTCTTCTGTTCCCGCTTCCTAGTCCATATATAAACATTCCTG